GAAAAATGATAGATCATGAGGTCTTAGTAGGGGGGAGGCTGAACCAAAACAAAGCCAGTGAGTAGTCGGCATTTACTAAGTGACCTTTGGGGTATGTCCCACTGGCTGTTTCAAGTTGGAAGATATTGGGAGGGGGTGGTGATGGCAGAATGCCCTGGAGTGTGTTTTGGGTTTTTTGTTTTGTTTTGTTTTTTTGTTTTGTGTGTGTGTGTGTGTGTGTGTGTTTTTTTTAAAGTATTTTAGAACAGCCAAAACCTGTTTGGCTCAGTGGATAGAGCGTTGGCCTGTGGACTGAAAGGTCCCGGGTTTGATTCCAGTCAAGGGCATGTACCTTGGTTGCGGGCACATCCCCAGTAGGGGGTATGCAAGAGGCAGCTGATGGATGATTCTCTTTCATCGATGTTTCTAACTTTCTATCCCTCTCCCTTCCTCTCTGTAAAAAAATCAATAAAATATATATTTTTTTAAAAAGTATTTTAGAACAAAAGTAAAATGATGTGTCTGTCGGAGGGAGAAATCGTTTAAACTACTTCAATGGTGGACAACCATGGCTCTGCCTTTGATTTTTACAAGAAACAAGAAAAAGGCAGGGGGGACTTGGGTTTCCTAGGCAGCAAAATATTGGTCCTCCTCTTGGCTCTCCCACTAGAAGCTTGCTGTACATCGCCTTGGTCAGGCATAGCCCCCCTAAAACTCAGTTCCCTCCTCTACCCTATGCAAGTGGGAGAATCAAGAGGGTCACATAGCATACCCATGGAGTCTGTAGCTAAACAACTGTCCCTAGGTCTATCCAAAGCTCTCCTTCATTCAGATCTATAACCAAATGGTACTCCCTCAATTCCTCTGAATATCCTACAATAAAAATAAATAAATAAATAAATTTTAAAAAAGGCATTCCTAACCAACTCTTTCACTGGCTCCTTATCCTGCTTTATTTTTCTTCACAGCCTCTATCTCTGCAGAAAATTATGCACTCATCTACTTCTTTATCGCCATGATTCCCATTAGAAAAGTTCTGTAAGGACTCATTATGCCCAATGATTGATACATAGCCATGCTCAATAAATATCAAATGAATGCATGAAAATTAGTCATCATGAGACCTTACAAAACAGCGAGTCCCAGACAGACAGGACAGAACATCTCAGGCTGAGGTTATGTTGGCCCGCCCTGTGAAGGAGTGGAAGGAGTACAGCCACTTCCCAGGGTCAGCATCTTCCCCTGTCCATGAGCATCTGCCAACTCTGTCCCTCCACAACCATGATTTAGTTTTTCTATTTGTTATTTAAATATAGAATGGTAACATGCTTCTATTTTCCTATTAATGTACTGCCTAAAATACAGCATGGTTCAAACTCAAAATTCCTTTCATTTAAAGATTCAAATTATAGCCCAGCCAGCATTGCTCAGTGGTTGAGCCTCGACCTATGAACCAGGAGGTTAGGGTTTGATTCCCAGTCAGGGCATATGCCTGGGTTGGGGGCTCAATCCCCAGGGTCAGGTGTGCAGAAGGCGGTCAATCAATGATTCTCATCATTGATGTTTCTCTCTCTCCCCCTCTCTCTTCCTCCCTGAAATAAAAAAGAAAAAAAATGAAAAAATAAAGATTCAAGTTATATGTTAAGAGAATAATTGCATAGCAACAGGATGAATTCTATTCATTAGTGAGCTCAGGGTGGGAGAGAGGGAAGGCAGTTATATCTGCAGTGAGTACAAGCTTTGTTTTTAAGTAGTCCATTACTTTCCTCCCTTGTTTCCTAGGTTCATTTTTTCCATATATTTTTCCTCTCACTCATTATCCACCTTTCTCCTTTCACCATGTTTTTTTTTAAGCTCTTCTTTTCTTTACCCTCCTGCATTTTGGTAGATAAACAGGTCAGAGGTGGATTTAAAGTATTGCATAGTCTTTGAGGGTTGACTACCTGTGAGAAAGAAAAAGAAGAGGTTGAAAGCTGCCGGATGTGAGTCTCAGAACAAGCCCAGTGCAGCTACTGAAGAAGTGTTCAATTCTTTTCTTTTCTTTTTCTTTTTTTTTTTTTTTTTTTTTGTAAAACAGCGATCCTGGGCTTCCAGTCTCTTCCTCGCCCTGCACATCTCGGCCACAGAACTTGCCCAGACCTTTTAACAATGAATCTTAGAATCACTAGGTTTTAGAACTGGGCTGGATCTTACAGGTCGCCTACCCTTATACTCTCCAATTAACAAATGAGGAAATAGAGGCCAAAAGAGGTTAAGTGTCTTGCCGAGGGTCACAGAATTAATGGCTTGACAGGGTCCAGAGACCCAGATCTCCTGATCCCCAGAACAGAATCCTGAAAAAGAGTGTCTGCAAAGCCCAGGAAACTCCACAGGCTATGGTCATCAGAAATGGAAGAAAAGGTAACTGATTAAAAAGAGAAGATTGGAAAGGGACACCGAGTCACTTGAAGTATAAATCAATCCATGACTTAGGATGTTTTCAAAGAATCTTCTTTTAAAAGCCAATATGCATCTGACCATGAAGGAGAAGATACACTGAAGCATTACACCATTTTTTTTTAAATCTTACATCCATTATTTTCTTATTTTTCGTAGTTTTTAAATGAAATATCTTATATACTTAGTGACTATCCCATTGCATTGACCTTTAACTTCTGCCTTCCAGTAATCTAAAGCAGCTGATTTTAATGTGCTGGTGCGTTAGTGTGAAGGAGGTGAAGGCTATGTTTGTGTGCAATCAGGTTAAGATTGGCTCCAAAAGGAGAAAAAATCCATACATATGTTGAAAAGATCTGAAAAATGCCTGTATTCCCAACCTGATTACGACTTACATTTTTGCATGGTTTGTCAAAGCAGATCACTAAAATCAAATCAAGATGTAAAATGGGCCGAAGCGGTTTTCGTCTCCATTCTTCCATTAATCGCCGTGACCTACTGAAGAAAGGAACTTTTTGCTCTCTCACCTGAGGCGAGGTGGGATACGACACTGGAAGTTATGCCTGTTTTTATAAGTTGGTGCTCAGGTTCCAAAATTAATTTTCTAGTTGTAATTTCTTACATTTTAAAATAGAAGTTACTTTATTGTGGGAGTAACTTTCCATTTCTATCAACAATTCTATGGTAGGTACCTTTTTATAAAACAAGTTTCCACATAACCTTTTAGACCCACCAACGTAAAATTCAATTTGTTCAACTGAAAAAATGTAGGTTTGGGAATTAAAACAATGGCCAGTGTCTCCTAATAAATAATACTTGATAAAACCTAAATATGAATTAAATCAGAGTTCATTACTGGTTATCGAAAAGAGAATATTAGCAGATGATATTTACACATTTGTTTCAGCATAATTTACATTGCTGACAGTGTCGGGCTGTACTCTGTAAGACTGTTGGTAGCACAAAAATTATGAGTGCCATAAACATTACAAGTTAACAATCTAGCTGTTATCTACTAATTCTCAAGCAAGACTGGAGCCAGGTCAAAATAGTGGGACGGGAATATCCTGGCTCTTGTTACACATAAGCATGTTTGTTAGAGGAGCATTTTCAGGTTAATTTTTGCTATTAACGTAAACCACAATTGGGGACCACATCGCTGGGAGAGAAATGGGGGGGAGGGTAGTTATATAAACAATATACAACAAAGGAAGCCTTTCTTTCCAATACCTGAATACATCAGGTTTGTTTTTGGGCATGAGGTTGCAGGTTAAATGCTCTCAGCTATCCAAGAAGTAGCTTATTAGTTTTGTAAGAAAATATTTTCTTATATTTTGACTGAAAAATACTCAGTTTAAAGCGAACAAAACCATCCTTGTTAGTGAAAAGCAAACCCTCCCAAAAAAACTTTGTTTTAAAGACCCAGCAAAGCAAAGCAAGACTAATTCAAGAGGAAAAGCTGCCTTCCTAATAGTAGCTTCTGAATCTGGATCTAATATTAATACTTCTCAAAGGCCGGCTGGAGTCTTCCAGTCTTAAAGGTTTGTCTTCCTCCGCGGATCACAGACATTCTCTGTGGGGCAGCATAATACGGATGTAAATCCATTTTAAGCTGAGAGGTATTCTCTCTCTGGCTGCAACCACAAAACTGAAAATCTGTGCCCCAACAGAAAAAAAAATAAATAAATAAAATGAAGACAAACAAAAATTTTGATCATTTCACAGGGCAGTTTTCCAAACACAACCTCTTTGCTTTTCTGTGCTGTAGACTAGAAAAACCCCAGCTTCACCCCCGACAATATAGCATCCACTAGTGATAAACGGTACCAAGCGATTACCCTGTAAGAGACCTCCATCTCCAACAGACTGACTGGGCTCCAGCCGGCACCTGAGCTATGTACGCGTCTCCTAATTTGTAAATGGGCCTAATCCTGTCATTACAGAATAATTACTGCAAATCAGCACAATTACTACAAAGACATGAATAAACACACACATACCAGTAGCTGTTTTCTACAAATCATTATCAAAACAAAGAGGTCCAGCTAATTGTGGTAACATTAAGACAACGTTTATTCCTCCCAGTGTTTGGACAAGTTTATTTGAAGTTGTCATCTTCAACTAGTAATGATGCCGATGATTTTACAGATGCCATAAACCTTTCTAATCTAAACTCTGCTCAGCTGAAAGTTGGCTGCTTCCCTTGGAGCAACATCTGCAAAAGCCTGATTTCATAAGACCCACTTGTATGGTATATTAGCCAAAAAAAGACACACACACACACACACACACACACACACACACACACACACACATGCTCTTGGAAATCTCAATTTGGAAAGCCCATTTGTAATGCAGTCTTCTAAATTATTACCAAGGTATCGTGAAAGTAAATGAAATATTCCTTCTCTACTCTTCACAGTGTAAGCATTCATCTTTAAATAAGAATACTGTGGGATTTGACCCTCTGACCAACGTTGTTATCAGGTTTCTTCCATGGAGAAATATTCATTATTGGGGGTGGGGGTAGGAAAGAGGCAAATTCAGGAAGCACACCACCCATGATGGTGACTACCCACACTCACCTCCGGGACAGTGCCTCATGGCCATCTTACATCTCCTGGATTCGGCGATGGTTGGACATGGTATTGTATCCTTTGCTGGCTTTTTAACAATTTGCCGTGTTCTGGTTTCGAGACCCCATTTAAATCCACATGTGCGATTATTTCTGCTGCAAGTTCCCCATTCACTCCAATGACCAACTTCACATCCTTCTAAATAAAGATAAAAAACAAACAAAACAAATACAAATAATTTGAAACCCATTTGCTCCCCTATCATCAAATTTATACGCTCTCCCCATTTTCAGATTTTCCAAATTAAATTGCACAGCCCACAAAGACCTATATTCGCCTTTCAAACGTTTATTCTTTGAACCATGGAGTTACTTTCATTTTTAAAATTGCCACATACGTAATTTTAAAACTAGTACTTTCAATCTGTCTTAACTCATTTTCTGAAGAGATGCTTCTGGTCCATTCTAAAACACTGGAATATATAATCTCTCAAAGGTTCAATAGCTAAAATCTACAGCCGAACATAGGATTTTTGTATTATGACAGAAGACAAAACTTTTCACGTTAATTCCGAATGCCCCCATTGAAATTCACAAATGTGTTAGTTTTACTTTGAAAGTAAGTGTTTGGGCCCGATCAGCATGGCTCAGTGGTGGAGCATCAACCTATGAACCAGGAGGTCACAGTTCCATTCCTGGTTAGAGCAGTAGGGGGCATGAAGGAGGCAGCCAATAGATGATTCTCTCTCATCATTGATGTTTCTCTCTCTCCCTCTTCCTTCCTCTCTGGAACTAACCAACCAAAACACACACACACTCATATGTATTTTTATTTATGTGTATTTTAAAAGTAAGTATTTGGTGAAAAGGATAAGGTTTTTGTTTTGCATTTTCTGATTATCTCAATTCTTTCATGGGTGTCAGGAAACCACAGTATGTATTTCCTATTCTCTAAATTGGTGCTATATATTATGATAGTGTGAAAAGTAAACAGGTATGGTTATGTATATGAAAAAAATGTATTATTTTTTTCCTATCATATCTGGTTTCAGCACCCCCTTTTATAAAATCATAAAGCGGAAAAATGGGCTAGCCTACAATCTCCTTGGGTGAGGTTGGGGAGTTAAAGGATAAAAATTGGTAAAGTTAAGCCTCCTCATTAAATTCCCCATTAAAAAGCCCCTTCGCACTACCAGGTCACAACTCAGGCCCAGGGTCCACACACAATTATTTCAGCATTCCAAATCTGAGCAGACATGATCATGGCTACTCTTAGATGTTTCAAAGCTATTCAAGATGATTTGTATTCAGGACTCAATTTGTAATTTGTTTATCTTCGAGGGTTTCATAAGAGCTCCCATTGACTGTCTCTAAGGGGCATGGATCTTGCCTCTCAAAATCAAACTCAACATTCTCAATGTGCTCTTCTAGTGGCTTTCCAATGTTTAATAGGCTGTTGCCTGTATGTATGTATGTATTCACTCACACACAAATAGGAACATACGTACATATTTCTTCATCAACCTCTTCTTTAAATGTATTCTCTGCAAACTTTTGAACATATAATTATTAGAGGCTTGGTGCACGGATTCGTGCACTGGTGGGGGCATGGCCTGTGGAGACTGGCCCGCAGTAGGAGCGCCACTTATCCTGGTCAGCCCCCTGTATTGAGTATCTGCCCCCGCCAGGTGATCAGTGCGCATCACAGAGACTGGTTGCCCGATTATTCTGGTCATTCCACTGTTTGGTAGCTGGGTTTTTATATATATAGATAGACCATTTTAGCAATATTTCTTGAGGAAAAAAAGTTCTCAATTTTATCTTAAGTCTCCATTTCACGGAGATGAAAAGCATCATAATACATAGCTCTCTTGTACATCATATCAGATGTATAACATGCCAAATATAATTCAGGGGTAGGCGCAGAGAGCTGAGAGTAGTGAGATGTCATTGCGCCTAAGAACAGATTCAGGCATTCATAATGACAGAGCTTTACCTTTTCATTGGTAGTATAAAAATCAAAACCATATAAAAACAGTGAAAAAGTAGTATAAAAACCAAAGTGTTTTCAAACACTCAAAAAATACACAATTTACAAAATGTGTATTTCTCATTATTATTCACAATTGGTATATATGCATATAGTAAATTCTAGCTACATAAATTTAGTAAAGGTAAAACTGTTTTTAACGCACTTTGCAACATATAATCAATCACCAAAATATATTTTGCACAAAAATTTTCTTCCCAATGATATTAAAAAAACAAATGGCTAAGAAGAGCCATAATTAATAGACATAACAAAAGTGAGAGAATCATTAATAACATGGTACTGCTTGAAATTTTTATTTTTATTTTAAACAAAATGTTTTTATCTAACATGTTAATATTTTTTAAAGTAAGAAATAGATGTATTACACATATGATAAAAAGCATTATCAGCATCTAAATAGTTTAATCTAGCAAATGTACAACTCACAAATTTTGTAGCAAGATGTAATATATAAAACAATGTCATAATGCCAAAGAATTCAGAAACTCAGCAAAAAAAAACTCAAAATAATTTTTAGTTCTAATTTAACAGCAAGACAACCAATTTGTTATTAGGTTGAATAACCCAGTACGCATTTCCCCCTCCCCAAGAAACAGGTGTAAAAAGTTGCAGTTTGAAAGTTACACAAAAAACTACTTACCCACACATTCCATGCTTTCATCTAATGGTGCAAAACCATCTGGGCATTCATCAAAGCAACGGCCTCTATGTAAATAAAAGCCTGCTTTGCACTTGGTACAAAAGTCTTTGCTAAAGCAAGAATCACAGTTTTCTATTCTGCATCCTAAAAACAATTTTAAAGAGAAAAAGAGAAAATTTCAGTCAAAGAGAAATGCACTCCTTTTACAAATAAAACTTTCATAAACTCAGCAGTCAGATCAGTTGAAATTCTAGTGGTCAGAGCAATATGTGTTCAACTCCTTTGTTTCCTAATGCCATCTCATTCTAAATCACTCCTACCTCTTGCAACAGCTCACCACATCAATAAGCTGAGACACAACTCCAGCCCAAGGCCCTGGGCAGCCATGAGACCCTTCTGAAATGTTTGCAACTCCAAATGGGATTAAAAAGGATGTAAAAGAAAAAGAAAACACCCCCACTACAAATTACATTGCTGCTGGGACTGAAATCTTCTCTGCTCTTCAAAGGATGTACAACGGAAAACATACAAAGGGGGATAACTCTAATCAGGATCTTCTGCTTCTGGACAGTCAATTAAAATTCTGTTTATGTTGGTCAGTGCTGGCATTTACTTTCATCAGAGGCTTCCTTAACTTGGAGGGATAGTTTAGGCCATTAGAATGGAAACACACACACACACACACACACACACACACACACACACACACACACAGTAACAATGTGCCAAAGGCTTTATATGCATTTCCATTTAGTGTTCATAAGAATCCTACAAAGAGGGCAATACTAGCCCTATTTTGCAAATAAAGAACTTGAGACTAAGAGAGATTAAGTCCTAGAGCTAGTAGTGGATTCTGACAGCCCCCAAAACTGATTGCCTCCTACATCTGGGCTCCTTTTTCTGACCCGCTGACCGAATCTGGCAAGGAACCATTTGTGAAGCAATGCTTTCAGGCCTGCTCCCTGTAGACTTGAACCCCAGATCTGCCCTGACCAGCTCTGTGACTCCAGACAATTGCACACCTCCTTGAGCTGCTGTTTGCCTCTGTATAAAACAGACATCACAAGGCTATTGTGAGAACTTGTAATAGGTAAATTGACTGGCTCATCATCTACACATAGAAGCAAGAGTGGACTAGAAACACAATTTTTCCTAAGCACACATTACAACAGGTGTAAAAAGAAGCAGAAATGTATCTTGTATTATAGGTCAGATCCCTGAATAGGCCAGGAACATCTGGGCCAGAAGATAGCAGGGCTTGCATGGGGAAAAAGAAATATACTCTAAACTGCTCTGCAGAGGAAAGGAGAGAAGGTTAACAGATTGGTTATTTGAAAGGTCAGGTTTTCAAGAGATTATAGTTCATTATTACTTGCAACAGATTTAATTGATGGTAATTAACAGCACGTAAAGCTCTATAAAAACTCCATGGCATTGCTTATATTCATTTAACAAGCCTCAGAGTGCCAGTACTGTATTTAGAGCGCTCATGATTCAGCAAAGCTTTCAAATATATAGTTCCTGTAATCAAAGGTAAAATGGAATAAAAACTAGTAACCAAAGCATGAACTCACTGAATATTAACATTTTGAAAATTGAGAAAATAAAGCCAGAAAGTTGAATTAAAGGCTAAAATATATACATATATGTGTGTGTGTGTGTGTGTGTGTATTTCATTAAAATAAATAATAATTACAGTTTCTAGACCTATAAAAAGACAATGGTAACTCTTCACCTTTCAATATTAAGTCTAAACAGCTCTTCATGTATCAAATGACCACCATGAAGCAGTTAGTTCAATTTCTAAAATGTTACCATATTTACAACTGGAAAACCAACTATGTGTGGGTGAAAGTCCATAGTCAAATTATCAAATTACAATATTGCTCTTTTTGGGGAGGATGGTTGGGCACAGGATACTTTATCACCCTATAAAAGGTTCACTTGTAGTCTTAAAAGCTGTAACATATATTTTAACACAACAGTGGTCAATAGCTGGTCAGTCGCTTTTTCATCATGGTGAAAATACATGACCATCATGTCCACAAATTGCTAGTTTTCTTGCTGCTTTTTTGTTTTTTTTCCTTTTAAAACAAGCAGCCCTTCCTGTTAGCAGAATTATTTCCCAAGAAATAATGATAAACATCCCAAAGATACAACAGAACTAAAGGATGAAAAAGAACAAAGCACTTATATTTTTTTTAAAAAAAAGGACTGCACATTTCATAAATCCATTGTTATCTAGAAAGTCTGATTCTTCTTTAAAACATGACCTGCACCATTAAGCCTTTTGGCCAAAAAGTTATAACAATAAACATTTGGACATAATTTGACAAGGTTTTCCTGATTTTTCTTGTTACCTGTAACTCCCTTTCCTCATTCTGTTCTGTGTTTCTAATACCAGTCCACGAATCGTGGAATTTCTGAAATACCTATCATTCTCTGTCAGGTCCCTGAGGACATCTTCAGACACAAATCCTGCTAGAAGAAAGCTTAATTTTTTGTCCTAAAATGTAAGTAGAACAAGAATCTGATGCGTTCAGCCAAAAAAAACGGTTTGGCTCAGTGGTAGAGTGTCGGTTTGTGGACTGAAAGGTCCCGGTTCGATTCCGGTCAAGGGCATGTACGTTGGCTGCGGGCACATCCCCAGTAGGGGATGAGCAGGAGGCGGCTGGTCGATGTTTCTCTCTCATCGACGTTTCTGGCTCTCACTCTCTCTCTCTCTTCTTCTCTGTAAAAAATCAATAAAATATATATTTTTTTTAAAAAAGAATCTGATGCGTTCAAATTGTTGACTATGACAACCATGTAAAAGCACAAGATGAATTATAAACAGTGACTGTAAACATGAAGATCAATAGTTAAGTGAAGAAACCAAGTTGCAAGATATCTAGTGGATAATATAGTAAAACCATATGTGCATGGTGGGGTATGAATAGCTTGGGGAATTTAATTTGGGAAAGGGTGGTAGAATTTTGAAATATGTTAAAATTATATATTTCTGAATTATATGAAGGCAAACCAAAGTTATTGTAATATGCATTTGTGACCTACTTGAATTTACAGAATATAAAACTTTTTTAGCATTCTAAAATAAATCCTTTTGATTTCAAGGTAGGAATGAATTAAGAAATATTAACCCATCCTAAATTTTTTTTTAGATTTGGGTGCATGAAATTACTCCCATTCTTCGATAATGCCGACCCTTGCTTTAGCCTTCAAATTACACCATCATTTGACCAACTCTCCACAGTACCCTTTATTTTCATATAGTCAATGGCACATTTCTTCACTCCAGTCATAAGGAAAAAAAAAACTAATTATTTTTTTGTGCAGTAAAGTACTAGTAAACTAGAGCTTTGATTGGCGTCAAGTCCCAACATCACCAGAAGCTCTGCTGGTCTTCCTGATCTCAGTCACTCTTTGCCACAACATAAAACCAACGCCCGCAGCGGTACATTCAGCAGTCTGAGCCGACTGGACTCACCTATGCACAGACACCTATGAAATGAAAGCTTTTTAAAGCAGGTAACCTGGAGATCAACATCTGGACATGCTTCCACGCCCAAAAACCTTCCTCACTGCTCCAGCCTCTCCGTGCCCCCCCCACACACACACACACCCTCTTCTGCCATTTCTCCAGAAACTACCCCTTCTGCTTTGGAGAAAACCACTATTTGTGAGGCTTCAGAGCTCCCCTCAACTCACTCCAGCTACTCTACCCAACACTGCTTACGCTAACAAGTAATTGGGATTTAAATCTACTCTATTAACTAGTTCTTAACATAAAAATAAAACATTCTCATTACAAATAAAAAAAAATTCTGGACGCAGAAGGTTTCAAAGAGCAAACAGAAATGCCCTTCCTTGCTTTAATGGCATAGCATGCCAGCTTCTCAGAAACAGCAACTGTATTGCATTTCAGAAAAATCTCTATGTCAACTTTATAAATAAATGAGTTTTAAAATACCAGTGGGATCATTTAATAGACTGATAAACCTTAGAAAATTTTATGCTGTGTAAAAAAACAAAACAGGTATATCCAAGTTTACCAAACAGAGGTCCTTTCTATAAAAATCTGGGCTTTAAGTCCTCGCTCAGAAATATAAGAACCTGGGTTTAGCCAACTTACATGCTTCTAAATTACATGCCTCCTCAAAAATGCAATCCGCAAAATGAGGACTGCCAATATCGGTTTGAGTAAAATTACTGTCCAAGTGAAACTGCCTCCAAATGCAGTCTGACGGGGCTGTCATTTGGCAAGAGGGGTTTACTCTGGCCAAGGGGGGGAGGGGGGGGGAATAGGCCGGGCACCCCTTCTCCTGTCCTTCCACAGTACCCATACAGGCTCCATTATAACATTTTCAAATTATACTGTAGCTCAGTTCAACAGTTCATTCCAAACATTCTCCAAAAACGTAGCATTGTGCCAGACCCTGAGAACATAAGATTGTCAGACCCATTCCCTGTCCTGGGGGTGCGAACGCCGAAGGCAGGGGTCCCTGTGCGCTTCCAGGGCCTGGCCACACGGTGCAGTGGTTACCCGCTGGGCACCTCAGAGGCAGGAAAGACGGAGTCACTTCCGTCCAGCCATTACTTTCCCATATTTTGTGTTCAGTCTGTGAATTCCTTGTTTCTAACACAGAGCCGGGCACGTGGTGGGGTGGTAATGCTTGCCAAGTGCACTCATGGGTATGCCACTTAAAAATGCAATTCCTTTGTAGCATGCAAAGGCTCATTTGAATGCTAAGCTTGAGATTGCTTACACGTGCACTGTAGATATCTTTAAAAAGAAAAGTTGGTCGGTTGCCATAAATCGTATTGGAGGAACAAACAGTGAAATACCTATTTAGAAAAAGAAAACACCATTATAATTGAGAATGTCAACCCTGAAGGGTGCCAGGCAATCTGCGCTATAGACGTTGGAACCTCCGATGAGCAGGTGTTAGAAAGACAGAGGGAAGACAGAGATCTGGCCATGACCACCAGGCATACCGAGGCAGTGAAGAAACGTCACACGCATACGATGGGCCCCAGGCAGAGAGGCTGGGATAAGCTGGAGGTTACAGGGAGGGGATGGTTACTTGGGCTCAGATTGCTATGGGCAGGGAATTTCACTTCATATGTAGTTACAAAAAAATAAA